CTATCATAAAATAATAACAGCACGAAATGCTAATTTCCCGACCCATCCATCACCCTTTCACACTTTCAAGTTATCCAAAATAGGTAATTTCACCCGTATGAAAACCACTGCCTTACACGTACTATTCGTATGTACTTGTTTCTGCAAAAGTGAAAATGAGAGATGAATGCAAAATGAATGCAATGGAGAATTATTGTCCGTGCATTTTTGAGTGAAATTATATCTGTCAAGAAGATTCAGCACTTGATAACATTAGAATGCCTCTAAAGTGCGATTATAAGAAAGTGGAATGAATTGAAGCATGAATCTTTGAAATGTTCCCATATTTCGAACACTTCTCCAGTTTAACTAGAAGAGTTCAATTCCAGATAAACGGTTTACATTGGCATCTTCCTTTACCAGTTTGTTATTTGTATAATGTTATGGATGTTGCCGCATCCACATGTTCTATTGTTCATTTGGTACTCATAAGCATCGACAGGTGAGCAACACAATAACTTTTCAATCGCCTTCAAGATGTTTGCAAATTCTTTAACAACATCGCAAAACTGTTTCGTTTGAATTGATTACGTTGTTGCGTAGCATTCGATGATCATGAACAAAAAGCAATGAAGGTGATCACATCTAATCGATCACATTGAAAACCACAAAGAGTGGAGTTCATTGCTTGCCTCTTTATTGAGGTAGTGAAGTGAAAATGATTAAATTGTAAAGTGCAAATGTTTAGGTCAATAAGATCAGTAATCTATCACATAATGTTACTCAACTATGAAAGTTCATCAAAAAAAAAACAAATACGAAGAAATCATGCAGTAAACTTTTCATGTTTCACATGTCAAATCGCACATTTTTTGTTTTGGTGATATTCTGTCTGCGCGTAACTCACACAAACTAACAACCACAAACACATTCGTAGCCGCCGTATTTTTGTTTTTGTTCACTTATCATTCGTAGCTTATCCACTCAGCTGGGCGGAATTGGAGAGCGGCCTCATGCAGCAATGAACTTGCACATGAACGGGAGCAGCCTCTTCATTCAATCATCTAATTGAGTGGTTACTCATCAGACTCGATTCCGATATACAGCGACATTAGGGAACGGAAATTAATTGTTTTCGAATGCGGGATCAGAAAAACAAAATTATCGAAAAGCTATCGAGCTGGGAATTGTGAGCAACCAAGCAAATTCATGCGCTTATCCCAGATGAAAGTTCTCCGGCATTTACTCATTAACTTGGATTGACTCTAGACTCATGATATCAGTACCATAAGAAATCTGCTCAGCGTCGTTCTCAAACCTTCATTTGATTCAGCTTTAGCTCGAGAACTTTGGTCATAATTTCATATGAATTCAGGCTGGTTGCGGCCACGAAGCCAGCCGACTACAAGACAATCAAGCATCGAAAACGGGTTTATTTGTCGATTGCTATAGCATGGACATTCAGCATCACGTTATCGTTACCTCTAGGTGAGTGCTGATTAAATGCGCACTTATTGCGCCTTAAAATTCTTATCCATTCGACGATAAATCATCAGTGTATGTTGTGTTCGCGTTTTCGATTACCTTATTAGAATAGAAGGTTCCACAAAAATTCTCAATAAATGCGTTTTCTGAAAATTCTTCAAAAAACAATCGTCCAATAGGATCATTAATACTGATCACATCATCTACTTAGTACGAGGAGTACATCTGAAGATGAGGTGGAATCATTTGCAGGCACTGGTTTGAACTCGAAGACTCGACACTTTTTGCTCACCGAGCACCACTGCGGTATCTATAGCCCTGTGTACATGTTCTGTAGCTCAATTTTCGCATTCTATTTGCCGTGTTTGATAATGATCATAACCTATAGTTATATATTCTACACGCTCAGGAGGCGCCTTCAAGCCATTCAATTGCAGGTTTGTTCTGGCATCGACCAGTGTTCATTTCGTTGATTACCTTGAAGTACGTTATTCATCGTCTTTATTCATCGCGTGAATAATTTAAGCAAGCAAAAAAGTGTCGAATTCATCATGCAATTCAATAGACCTCTTAAAATAAACAGAGAAACTCATAATTTCTTCATCTTCATAGGCTTTCATAAATATGCATTCTTGAATTTTGCTAAACAGGATTTTTTGTCATGCAATATTGTGAGATATTCGAGAATTTTCATCGTTCTCTAGCAAATATCCGAAAAAATATGGAACTCCGAGAACAGAAGTCTTTCGTCAGGTTACGTTGCGTTTTGAGATTTGATTAATCATCGTTCCATCGGGTTGGAACGAATTCAGAGAGAATATGGTACGGATATGAGACTGAAGTTTGGTGAACGAATTGAACGGGAGAAAAACTCATCAGTTAAAACGAATTAAACAAATCTTCCCTGGAATGACGGTCTATCCATTGAATGGATGACTGAATTATTGTGTATTTCGCCGTCTAATCACGTAGGTAAAACCGTGAAGAGACCAAACAGCATTTAGATATTAAAGCTCAGCAAATACGCTTATTGCTCAGAAATGATGCACTCCTTCAACAAATAACATTCCAAACAGCATTGCAAATTTGCTTTTTTTTTCTCACACGCGCTGTTCATTGTCGTTATTTTCAATGGAAACATGAATGTCATTCAGATTTCTTGCAAGGTTCTGATCAAACATGCAATTCATTTGTTTCGATTCCAAAATGCTGATTTCACAGGAGACCAACGACCAAACTTATCAATAGTTCTGAATTGATAGAATCTCTCGTTAAATTCGGCAAATGAATAGTTTAATTTAGCCTATAAACCAACTGGATTCTTTCAGATGCCATTGTCAATGGTATGGGCCATACGGATACTTTTTTACAGGAAATGGCTGGAGGTCAGTTTGTTGGTTTTGGTGCCGATGTCGGCAATATAGCAAATTCAGCGATTCAAACCGTTATTGGAGTGGCGCCGAGGAATCGAAATGCGATCAGTTGGGAGAAGCCACTGTTGAAGAAAATCGAAGAGACGGCCGCAGAGCATGCCAGCTCGTTGAATGAAAGTGATCGAGAACAGGTTTGCTCTATTTTTACGATGCAATTGCCTCCAATGAGCTTGGTTTGAATCCCATCTGAACTCATCCCTCAGAGGTGTTCAGCACATTTCAAATGAAATTCGAAATTAAAGTTCAATTTAAGTATTAAAACTGAATTCTTTACCGAGCAGTTACCAGTCTGGCCACTCTTATCCGTGAACAACATCCAATCGTATAGCTTAACGATGCCGCATTGTTATAAAATCTTACACTGTGTTACAATGTTGCAATCATATTCTGCGTCCAGTAATTAATGGTTAATATTAATAAATCACAGCTGCAAACGATTCTCGAATGTGGACAACCCTCGTCGAGTGGTTCTCAAGATGTCGGGCAATTCGATGAAGAACCTGAAAGGCCACCATCGGTATTGCTCGAAGCAGTAACACTGAATGCAAACGCGACTGAGTCTGATATGTTTTCACGAGGTTTACGAGTGCCTCGACCTATCTATGTGAAGCAGTTAGTGGTTTTGAGATTATTTTTGCATACGCATATTCTTATGCAATCTCGAGTACCAATTAGAAATGTCATAGTTCCATCGGAGAAGATGTCCTAGCTTCCCATAGCAACTCTGTCATAAGGACTTACCAATCATGCCGTGATCAAGCATTACATGTGTCACCAATATCTCACAATTTGTTGCTACCTGATCAAAAGCAACTATATCCACCAATTCATTAGATCAATCGTTTTGCTTACTTAGGTTATGATTAGTTGATTGCGATAATTCTTTTTACTGTCAGTGCGTTAGAATATATCTTCTATAGTATGGGTCGACGGTTTTCGGATGCCGTACAAACGATGTCTCAACGAAGTCATCAAAAGTTTATCGCTCAAGGCGGTGTGGTGAAGACCTTAAGGCGATACTCCTATCAGCCTCAATCGAATGCGCCAAGAAACAGTGAGGATCACCCGATCAATATGCGCCATGTTTGTCATAAACTTCATCTTCTTTCATTGTTTCGCCGCATAACGAACGCTTGAGTTTCCTTTTTGTTTTTTCTCATGTGTGCTTTTTTTTTAAGTTTCCTCTCATTTTGATGCTCAATGCTCAAATTGCATTGC